TATATCCTTCCCCACACATCCCCACCCCCGGTACTGGGAATCGAACTCATGACCTTGCGCTTACTGGGCAGGCATTGTGCCGCTGAGCTAAAGCCCAAGCCCAAAATGTGAGCTTTAAAACAGTACCGGTGGGCTGGCAGTGTGGTTCAGTGGTAGAGCACTTCTCTAACATGTGCTAGGACCTGAGTTTAATACCCAGCCACCCATCAGCACCAGTAAGGAACGCCTGCTGACCCCTCTGTGTACGTGTACCCATACCCGTTTTCATGTGTCCCGCCACCTGTACCTTCATCTCCAGAGACCTTCTTGGAGAGCTCGGTGGGAGGCAGATCCCTTGTTAAACACTCTTAGAGAGTGCTAGAGAGTTGAAAGCAGAAGACTTGGCCAGCAGCTGCTCCTCTCTTCTCTCTTGAAAGCAGGAAGTTCTATGAAGGTTTTGTTTGGTGACCAGTTCCTGGAAGACCTCATTTCTCTTAAGGAAAGCTGATTTTTATTACATATAAAAATGGTTTTTATTACATATAAAAATGGCCGGGTACAAGGGCTAGAACCACAATACAAACTTTTCCATTTTATTTCATAAACATATGAAATTTAACCAGCTGCTCAGACAAAAATAAATTTAGTATTTCTGACCCCTCCAAATAATCTATTATTTGGGGCAGTTCTTATATATCTGACCAGATACAAAGATGTTTTTCTCCCCATAGCTGTTGCTGTGGCTTCATATCATTCAAATGAACATTTAGACCAGGAAAGAAAATTGCCTTGTCCTGTGTACAGCCTTCTGAGCAATTCAAATTCCTCCAGCCTCTCTGCTCACCACCCACTCGGGACCAGCCCCACCCCCCAGTTGCTTGGACCTGGACTGCTTGTCGTTTGAGACGGGGGTCAAACCTGCTCTGCAGTTCCCTGCCTCCATGAAATGACCTCAGTGTTCTTATTAAGAAGTTCGGGCGATGCTGCCTGAGTCATTATCAGTTTGAAATATGTACTCCCTAGCAAGTCATCGTCTTCTTTAGGAAACACCAGAGGCACATCACACACTGTGCAAATAGAACGGTGGCTGGAAAACTCCCAGTAATGTCACGGTGATCCTCAGAGGCTGTGCAATTACAAACAAGAAAAGTCACACTCAGCATCACTGGTAAACTTGGCAGAATAAGAACTCTGAGCTACCATGCGGCGTGTATTACGGCTGGCAGGCACACCACTTTATCTCTCTTCCTAGGACACATGGAATTCAGGGAAAAGTGTGAAAAAAATTGTGACCCAATTTTATTCAAAAGCCATATCAGTTTTGCATACTGCTTTCTTCATGCACTACTAGGTTTAGACCGAGACCCCTATAACAACAAATGACAGATTAACAACAGAAAAGCATACAGCTTCATTCAGTACACATTTTATGACTTGGGAGTCTTTGGGAAGAAAGACTGACAGTAGTAATAGGTGCAAATGTGCACTTATGTGGACAGTGATGCAGAATTATGAACTGTTCAGAATCTCCTCTGTGAAGCATTACTTTCCTCTGAGAACTGGAAGGGCTCTAGGACCCCTCTAGAAGGAGAGTTTTATTACCTGCTTCACAGAGAAGGTCAGCTTGAATTTTGTTGGCCTGCTTCGGGGAGGAGAGGCACAGAAGCTGAGAGCTAATTTCTAGCTTCTACCATGTTCTCAAATCGTGCAGTATTTTGGGTTGCATGTCCTGGCAACTTTATTTTTTTTATTTTTTATTTTTTATTTTTTGTGGTTTTTCTCCGGTACCGGGAACCGAACTCACGACCTTGCGCTTGCCAGGCAGGCACTTTTGCCTCTGAGCTAAATACCCAGCCCGCCCTGGCAACTTTAGGAGCTTTGGGCTGTGTGCTTGCTTGGGTACCTTCTCTGTCCGCAATCCCTGTTAGCTGCTGAAAGTCCAGAAAACCAATGTGTCTAAGGGATTTGTCTCAACATACAGAAAGCAGGAGTGCAGACTCCAGACTGGACTTTTTTTAATTTAGAGAAAATACCTACCTTCTGGTTTAAAGTAAACAAGTCCTTTGAATTAGAGTCACAGTTTGTTTTTCCTGTGTAATAAAAATCTGGATTTTTGTGTTGGACTTACTTAAAACGGGATGCACTTTGGAAGTTCAACAGTCGTCGTATCTTTTACTCTCTAACTGAACAGGAAAGAATGACTTGCTTTAAAGAATTCAGTTTCCATCCTAACATTTACCATTTTAAAAACAATTCCACCAGTCTGAAATTTCTTGAAAATCTTAGAACGCCGTTGCTAATTCACCTTTAATCCACTGCTGTGATCCTGAACCCATGACTGGCTAAGCAAATGATTCTGCATTATTTGTTGTTTGCGATTAGCCTTTAACAAAGAAACCCTCTGTCACGCCAATGTGTAAACTGAGTTTCCGGAGTCACATCTTTCCTTGAATGTCTACACAGCAGGCATAAAGCTCATGGTTCCAAATCCAATCTTGCTGAGTGTGAGGGCACACCCCTGTAATCCCAGCTTTCTGGGAGACTGAGGCAGGAGGATTTCAGGTTCCACACCAGCCTGGGCAATGTGAGACCCTGTCTCAAAAAAAAAGAACTGTAGACATAGTTCAGTGTGAAGACCCTAGGTTTGATCTGTAATGTGACCCAAAATCCAATCTCATTTTTTTTCCTGTTATCAACTATCTCGTGGTTATTTTGGGACGTGTTAAACTGGTCTCAGTTCATTCATTTGAAAACAGAGAAGCTACCTTGTAAGGTATGATCAAGTAAAGTCGGATGCTTTCGGAGTCCCTAGAGCTCCTCAGGTGAAGGTGCTAGACAACAGGCATCTCAGCTTAAAGGTGGAAGTTGCTCCCTGTTTACTGTTTCTGAATAGCTACCTCCTCTTGTAACTCCGGCAGGGTAATACTGAAGGTGACGAAGAGCTGGGGGCCCCATTTGCAGAAGTTGTCTTGGGTTCCTAAAATAGCACACTTTTATCACCTGCTGTTTGTCTACAGCGTAAAAAGAATGAATGGGCCCAGTCAGCATCCATACACAACTGTGAGGATTTTCCAATTCTAGTCTGTCCTGGTTTCCATATTCAGTTCTTAAATATGGTCTGAAGTTTTGAACACAGATATCCCTAAGTGATTATTTTTTAAAGGCTGCAAATTTGATTTTTTTTTTTTTTTAATGTATCAGCTGACTGATCATTCTCTACCTGGTGACAGCTTTGGTAGAAAAGCTTCAGTTTTCTCGCAGGTGGGTGATAGCTAAGCACTCTCTCCCATCTTTTCCCCCTCTGCTCTGCCCAGAACTGGGGCCCTTGGTTCCCCACACCTGTCCAGCCCCCGGAAGCCTGGGGTGCCGGCTGGGGAGCAGAGGAGCAGGTGCTGAGTACAAGAAAGTTTTGGTGAGCCTTGGTGGCCGGAGGGAGCCAGGCCCTGAGAGTCCCATTCCTAAGGCCTCTCCTAATTTACAGAGATTCCTTTCCCTAATTCCAAGTCCAGATTCCAGGCTTCTCTGTCAGAGGTCGCAGGGTAAGGGGTTGCTCTCCTTTTGCCAGGCCCAGTGGAGCAATCAGCAATCAGGCCCCAGGAACAAGGGCTGGCTGTCCTCTACCCCGCAGCCCCAGGTGACTCAGCAGCTCTGCCCCAGGTACTGGAGGCCTGGAAATTGTTCACTGCTCAATTCTTTGGCTCCAGGAAATAAGGACACATGGACAAACATAGTTTGGGATTGATTTAGGCTTTTTTTTTAGCTCTCTGGCAGCAGCAATTATCATTCTCCCCTTCCTCCAAATAACTTGTAAATGTGTTCAATCTCTTGAAACTTTGCTTTGAATAATTAATTGGAAAAGTGTGTTGGTACGTTCTGATCGTGTTGGGAAAGGGCTGTGCTGTTTTATTCTTGGTGTCTTTCATGCGTCACTGAAGTCTTAGACAGCAGTTAAGTTTCTTCCTCAGGTTTCTGAAAGGATGGTACATAACAGAAAAGAAATTTTGGTTAAAATCACAGAACTAGAAATCACCTAGACTTCGGAGAGCTTTGCTTGTTTGCTTTCTTGTGCGTGTGCAAGCAGTAAGAGCTTTAAAAAAGAGGGGGAGCAGAGAGGATTAAAGGGGTGCACATTCTGTCTTCCACCTCCCTCCTTCCCTCAAAGAGGAGTATTTTAAGATGAGCCAGGTCTCAATTGAGACTCTGACTGGGCTCCAGAGCTGAGCACAAAGGACGCCGCCTACTCTGTCTGCAGGAGAGCTGGCTGGCAGTTCCGCCACCGGACAGAGGGTGAGCCAGGTGACAAAAGCCCTCCTTTGTAGGGCAGAGGCCTTACACTCTATCGCCAAACACCTTCCCCCAGACTTGCCTTCAGCTAATCCCTGCTTTCTTTGACTGCATTGACCCCCCTCGCTGTTTATACAAGCTGTCTTATCTAATGGTGTTGAGTCACCATTATATTTATTGGCTACACCTACTAATTACAAGAAGTTTCCAAGTGTCTGCTCTGGAAACAGAATTCTCTTCTAATTTGAGAAGCCAAACTTTATAGAACAGACCAGCTAAACTAATGAGCAATTCTCAACTTTTTTCCGCATTATGGACACCAGTTCTGGACTTCTGTGAATGCCTCTCTCCCCTACCTTGGATTTTTAGGGGAGTTTTTGTTTTGTTTCTTGTTTTTTTTCAGTGCCAGGCATCCATCCCAGGACCCTACTCCTGCTAGGCAAGCACTCTGCCATTGGGCTTTACTCCCAATCCCTTTTTTCTTTCTCTTTTATTAAATTTGACTTTTATTTTGAAAAACTCATAGAGAAAGTTTGCATGACCTTTAATTATTTGCCACTTCCAAAAGTAGTATTAAACCAGCATTGAAAAGCACTAATATAAATTTAATACTTATTATTGACCTTAATTACATCAGTTTAAAAGTTTAATGTACAGCTGTTACACGGCGGTTAAGTATTGGTTGTCTCACTTATATTCTGAATTATTTTAATATTTTACTGTTTGCTCGATTGCAGGAAATCTTCACCGAACCAGCAGTGTTCCCGAGTATGTCTACAACCTACACTTGGTTGAAAATGACTTCGTAGGAGGGCGTTCCCCTGCTACTAGAACCTATGACATGCTGAAGGTAGGCCATCAAAGAGCATAACCCTCAACAGCAATAGCAGATTGCCAGGAAAAATTTTCAGGTTTCCCTTTTCTTTTCTTCCTTTTTTTTTTTCTAAAAAAAATTTACCTTTCCTGGTATCATCATTTCCTGGAGGAAGTTTGAGAAAACTGGTTTTGTGTGGACACAAAGGAAAACTGGACACTAAACAGAATGAAATCCTAGCACAGTTAAACGATTCAGGTCAACCATGCCTCCTGGAAGAAAAGACTACCAGCAAGGGCAGCTTCTCCAACAGATTCAGAGGAACAGACATCTTAGGCCTTGTGTCTTCAACAAAGGCAAAAACGCTGGTGTGTGCCTCATTGGAATTTTATTTTTCTCCTGCAGGCTGGGACCACTGCCACCTACGGCAGTCGCTGGGGGCGAGGGACGCTGCAGTACAGCTCCCAGAAGTCAGTGGAGGAAAGGCCGTCGAGGCAGCCGCTGCGGAGGCTGGAGATCTCCCCCGACAGCAGCCCGGAGAGGCTCCGCTATGCGCACAGCGAGCACCACTACAGCCAGAGGAGCCAGCCGGCGCTCCCGCGGCGCCACCCCGACAGCCGGCGGGCAGCGCTCCTCACCGCGCCCAGATACGCGCGGTCGGAGACGGCGGGCTTCACCCACGCCGGGGCCGCGAGCAGGCAGTGCCACTATGACACCTACCACAGACACCACCAGTACGGCTCTGTCAGCGACAGCGTCTTTGACAATGCCCTGGTCACCTACCCGCGGCCGGGGACCAGTCACAGCATGGGCAACCTCCTGGAGAAGGAGAACTACCTGGGCACAGGACCTGCCTCCGGGCAGGTGCGACCGCTGCTGCCCCTGCAGCCCGTCACTCAGAACAGGGCCGCCAGGTCCTCGTGGCACCAGAGCTCCTTCCACAGCACCCGCACGCTGAGGGAAGCCGGGCCCAGCGTCGCTGTGGACTCTGGTGGCCGGAGGACACACATGACCGTGGGCCAGGTGGCCGCGGTGGGCAGCGGAAATCTGCTGCTGGAGAGAAGTGCTGTGGCCGACCCGCAGCTTGGGTGAGTGTCCTCTCAGAGCGCTGCCCGGGCAGTGCCAGCCCACTCTGTCCCCCAGCCCGCCAGCCTGAGCCGCGCCTCAGAGACTGGAGGAGAGAAAGGCTTGCAGAGATGGTGATAAAATACTGCTTCTCAGGCAGCTGCCTGTCTCACACCTCGGCCTGTTTACCTCAGGGGCAGGGCCGGGCCCACCCGTTCCAGAGTAGGTGCGGGGTGAAGGATGGAGGGCCTTCAGCTCTGTGAACATCTGCTCAGAACAAGGGCAAGTGCCAGGGTAGACCGAGAAATGGCTTGTGCGTTGCTGTGTATCACTCCTGGAAATGCAGGCAGGAAACAGCAAAGATGCTGACTCGGGGTGCTCAGGTGAGCCTCAGATGCGGTTTTGATCATTATCACCACAGAGCGGTGGTGGTGACCCAGTGGCACCCGTGCCACCGTGGGCTGTTCGTGTCACCGAAAGCTCTGAGTTCGCCATCACTGCCGTAGACTGGGAGTGCTGAGCAAAGGCAGGTGGTTTCTACAAGTCTGTCCTTCCTTTAATACATGGTACCTTTATACCAGTATTAATGAGTTGGAGGATATTTTTTAGCAAAATTGAACAATCAAAACAACTGAATTCTCCAAGTCACCCTTTGCCTTTCCTGCTTCCTTTACGGCTTGGCTAATTTAACTTTGGGGACTCAGACCTTGTTCAAGTTTGATGCTCAGGTACAAATGTGACAAATGGAGACAGTTACTAAGATAAAGGTCTAGCAATGGGATGATTAAATCACTAACTCCTGAAGTAATGACCTACCATATTAGGGCAAAGCTTTAGACATAGGATTGTTGTTTGGTGTTAACATTGCCTAATGGTAGTTCTAACCTCTCATCGGTCCTTCGCACGCCTGTTGGTGAGGTAGGTTCTGGTGATGAACTGCTTTCCAAAAGAAATTGGAGCTCATCTAATCTTTTTTTGTTTTTTTTTTCCTGGGACCGGGAATTGAACTCATGACGTTGCACTTGCTAAGCAGGCGCTGTGCCGCTGAGCTAAATCCCCAGCCCTGATCATCTCATCTTGAAGCAGGCAATATTTTTCATAAGACAAAATGTAATGTGAAGCTTGTAACATTTTTTTTCTTTTTATTTTCCTTTGGTGGGGATACTGAGGATTGAACCCCAGGCCTTCAAACAAAGCTACACTGTCTCGTCCTTTTTTTTATTTTTCTAGATAGGGTCTCACTAAGGTGCCCATGCTAGGCTTGAACTTATGATTCTCCTGCCTCAGCCTCCCAGAGTGCTGGGATTCCAGGTGTGCACCACCATCCCCAACTAACGTTTCTCAGAGATGAGATCATGTCTTTGTCAATATGAGCAAGTTTATAAAGAAGAAAACCTCATCAAGTAATTATTTATGGAAGAAAAAAGTGAATAAAGGCTTAAAATGGATAATTCAAAATTTATGGGATGCCTACTACCATTTAGGCATAGTTCTAGCAGAATAATTTTAACTCACAAAACTCCCATCCCACGTCCTCCAACAACTGGCATTCTTCTCCTCCTCCAACTCTGTCTACGAACCCCATGCAGGGTGGCTTTGATCTCCCCTTTTCAGGGACAGCACCATGACAGATGTCACCGTGATCCCTTCCAGCCACATCCTTGGCAGGGGCACGTGCAGCCTCTCTGGCAGCTGTCCTCTGACACATGAAGTCCTCTGCCCTTGCGTCTGGGCACAATCCTCTGCCCATTTTCCATCGACTCCCTCAGGCAATCTTCCCTGGGTGTCCCTTCTCTGCAGGCCAAAGAAGGCAGCTTCAGTCACCCTTCTCTTCCAAGCTCTGTGTTCCTGGGGAGCCCCAGCCCCTCACAGGTGTCTTCTTGATTCCTGGAGTTGGTCTTCAGCCCTATCTTCCACCTCGACTCTGGGCCGTATGTGTATTTAGCAATGTCTTGGACACCCCAAGGTTTAGCATAACCTAAACGAAATCTGTCTTGGTTCCTGTCCATCCCCTTGCATCCCGCCCACTGCAAGCCAGGAAGCCACTCCTCCTGCGCCCTCCAGTCGCTGAGCCTTATCTTCCCTCCGTGCCTCAGTTCTGCCTTCTCTCCGCGTTTTGTAGGTCTCTCTGCCCTGGCCCTGCTCAGAACTGTGCTCCAGGGCTGTCAGAATGAGCTTCCCAAGTCGCCGCTTCTGTTCCCCGATTTGTGACCCTCCTGGGTCCCACCAAGTGTTCCTGCTTGTTAGCACGGCAGACAAGACCTGTCACCTGTCTCCTCCCCTGCTTCCCACTGCAGGCTCTGTTCTCTCCGCTCCTGTCACCGCCGTCCCCACCACCCGGGCCGCTCCCAGCCTCCTCTGCTTCCCGCACTGAAGGACACAGCATTCGTCTCTCCCTGCCCTACTCGCCTTTCCTTCACGCTGTCCCCTCAACTCCAGCTCTTTCCCTTTGCCCTCCGCTTCTTCCGGCTCCGCTACTTCTGTGTTTAGCTCAAGCACCACCATGTTCCTGAGCACAGCCGGGACATCTCCATCAGAGCGGGTGTTATGGTTATTCATTTACTTACCTTTTATCCCTAGACTTTGAGCTTCTCACCTGTATTCTACCTTTATATTCTCCGAACCACCCAGCAGAGGCAGATCCGTGCTAGGCACTGTCTAAATGTACGTGAAAGAATGAAGGAATCAAAGAAGGGGAAGATGGAATATAAATTCTTTACTTACCACCATGGGGGGTTTGTGTTCTCACGTTCTAGAAGTAAACATACTATTTTGGATTGTGTGAATGGGCAAGGGAAGCTTTATTAGAATATTTAACCATGCTGCAAAGAGTAGAAGGAACGCCGGGGTCAAGACATTTTAAACACTAAACAATCGTCCTGAGATTCCCCAAGTTCCAGACGCTACAGATCAGAAAACTTAGTGCTTCCCTGTGATTTCCGAAGGGAAAGTTTGGGGTTTTGTTCTTTTCTTTCATCCTCTTTTTACTACTGGAAGTTTGCAGCGCGCAGTGATTGCATTCTCTGTGGGGGCTGGTGCGTGCACGTAATCTTAAGGTATTATGTACTCCCTTCCCTTCCCCTTTCTTCCTTTCTTCCATCTCTCAGTTGTATGGTTTCTTTTTCTGTTTTGTTCTGTGGCTTTTTGCATCTTTTTTTGATTAGATTTCATTGGTACATTTTAGATACACATAATGACCACGTTCATCATAGAGAATCTGTACCTGTACATGCTGTAACTTGGGTTTTTTCCCATTCTCCTACTGTCCCTTTAACCCCTCTTCTCCTCCCCGTTTGCAAAAGCTCCATTTCCATGTTTTCCTTCTTTTCTCATTTTCTTTATTTTTCCCTTCTTTCCTTTCTCCCTCCCCTTTCGCTCGTTCCCCTCCCCATTTGAACATTTTCTTCCTATTGGTCCTATGGTTTCTAAAGGGAAAATTTTGCATTCTATAAGAAAGGAGAGCCGAAGGAAGTTGCTATAGTGAGGAAAATACACGAAACTTACCTGAGGTGGTGCAGGTGCTGCCTGACTCTGCCTTTCCTCTGGTGCGGGCGCCCGGCTCATGCGTATCCAAAACGCCTGCCTCGCGGCCACCCTGCACTCCTGCCCCGTGCAAACCGCGGGGGGCCCTTGACTTACAAACCCAATTCGTTCCCAAGGGCGGGTTGTAACGCACGTTCTCAGCGGAAGGCTCAGGCTTCTCTACGCAGCCTTCAAAGTCTCTCTCCTGTGTACGGCAGATCTCAGTGTCCCGAGAGGACACTGGCCCCTGGATTTCTCAGTGAACCCCATGCAGGAAAGGGTGCTGCAGTGTTCCCTCCAGAACTCTTTAAGGGTTAAATCTGTATCTGAGACCATCTGGCAGCACAAGCGGCCAGCATTCAGTTCAGAACTCAAGACTTTGCTCATAAGTTAACACTAAAATTCCGGTCATAATCCAAGTTGTTGGTGGGCCAGCCCAGGCATACGTTGAGGGTCCGCTGGTCTGGCTCCTGTTTTGTGGACTCAGCTTTTTTCTGCTAGCACAGTTCCCCTCCCTAGGAGGTGTTCTGTCCTAGGTGTGGAACATTCTGTGGAATTGCTAGACAGAGTGTAAACCTATGGGAAGACATAAGTTAGCACACCGTGGGTCTTCCCAGAAGAAGACAGGCCAGACAGAGTTGAAACCATGACTAAAAGAGAGACGTCATTGCCTGTTCTAAATCACACTGATGAGCCCAGCATGGGGTCGCATGTCTGTAATCTCAGCACTCTGGGAGGCTGAAGCAGGAGGGTTGTAAGTTTAACAGCCTAGGGAACTCAGTAACCTAGTGAAACCCTGGCTCAAAGTGAAGAAAAGAGCTGGAGATATAGCTCAGTGAGAAGGTCCTGATTGAATCCCAGCACTGGGGGTGGGTAGGGAGCCAGCGAGGTATGCCTTGGGGACTGGAGACGCAGCAAACCGACAGTGGCTTCTCCCAGCGCACCCAGCACTCCCAGAGGCACCTCAGGGATGAAAACTGAGTGACATACATGAAGGTTGAGGAGAGGCTCTGAGCAAAGGGAGGTAGGACCTGTCGTGACGAGGGCCACGTGGGACACTCTGGTGTCTGCAGCTCTCCGGGGCCAGCCGGGGGAGACCGACCAGCAGCACGGGTTTTCAGCAGGACCGCACAGGTTTGTGAAGTGCAGCAGGCAGAGCAGAGCGTGGTTCACCCTCCCTTTCCTCCCCACCTTTTTTTTAACAGAAGAAAATTACAGATTTTTTTTTAAAAAAACATATACAAGACAGTCTACAAGAAAAAAGGAAGAGCAAAGGCCAATAGGCCAAAAGCTTACGCACCTTATTTGGTGGTGGTGGTGCTGGTGCTGGGGATTGAACCCAGGACCTTCACGAGAGCTACATCCCTAGGTCCTTATTATCTTTGAGGTAGGATCTGCAGGGATAGTGTGTACCACTGCTCCTTTCAACACAAAGAATGATGAATTCTGCAGATGCAAAAAGACTGAGGGGTTTAGGCGAGGAGTGGGAAATACATGGGGAGACCAATACAGGTGTTGCTTCAGTAGGTTTCGTCATGCAGATGACGTCAGCCTCACTTCCGGTCTCTGCTGCTAAGTGTTCTTCCCTGTGTGGGGCAGGGAGGGCACCTTTCTGATTCAGAGTTCAGAACGTGCTTTTAGGTAAAAAGGACAGATCAGAGACTCCATTCTTATCTGCTGTTTTTCAAGTGCCTTCAATTCTGGATAATCAATGGGCCAACGTGTAGCAGACCAACCCAGAGAGCTACACTGCAGGGCCCAGTCCCTACCCCAGACACCACCTGCACCCGCCTACCCTTTCCAGCTTTCTCCAGCCGAGCATGCTTACAGGGACGTAGTTCTGTTATTCAGGTCTCCTCCCCGTAGGGGTGAGGATGAATGACAAAGAGACACATAGTTTGGTACACGGGCAACCAAGGGGCTCTGGCCTCTCCTGAGGAGCCACGGGTCTCTGGCTGGTGCTACTTTAATTCACTCAGACAGGGTACAAACACTTAAAGTAACACAGGCTTCATCTGCCCTCCAGTATCCCTTAGTGCACGCTCAGGTGTGAACTTCATCGCAGCTGTCCTGGCTTTTCTCTGGAACCTGCAGGGGCCATCATCCTCCACGTGGCCTTGCTCCTTTGTGCCCGCAGAGGCGTCCTGTCAGGCCTCGGTCCCTTAACTGGTCTCCCACTTCGAAGCCGCATGGTGGAGGTGGCCCATCCTGAAACCTTTCAGCCCTCTGCTCCCGTTTATGATCCCGTAATCTGTCCATTGTGAACCACCTGGAGTTGTAGTTAACCACCTCGGAGTCCTAATTAATAATTTACAAAGGCTGGTAGCCTAACCGGGGATTCCCTGTTGTTTGCTGTCCTGAAGGTCTTTAGTTTCACTCACTCTCGGAACAGGGCAGAGACAGCAGCGTGGGTGGGGGTGGGGGCTAAGGTCCCCGTGTCCTCTTCATCCCCAGCTGCTGGATTGCTCAGGCCTCTGTCAACTACATCTTACTTTCCAGGCCAGTTCAGGGCTTTCTTGGCTCAGCTACAACTTGCAGAACCTGCAGAGCTGTCGCCTTGCTTCTAGAAATGCACGCGCTCTGAGCAGCGCTCTGGTCCCCCTTGACAGGCAGGGGCAGTGCATTACCCAAATGGGAGCTGTCCGCTCAGGATCTGAGGTCAGCTTGTCCTTCGGAGGTGTAGCCTTATTCCAGTATCAGGAGATCCAGCCTGGGCGGGGCTGGCTTCTAGACAGGCTGTTGTCTGTCTACACAGGGCTGCACAGACACGCAAATTACTCCCTACCCATGTGTTTCATAGTCCAGCCAGTGATATCTAACATGCTTCCTCTTCCTTGTTTTTCATTTACACTGACATTTTAAAAGGTGTGCAAGCGCATGCACACTGCAGATCAAACCCAGGGCATCATGCTTGCTAAGCAGGCGCTCTATCACTGAGCTATTACGACAGCCCCTGACATAGATATCATCCTACTACATTATCTAATGTTGAAAAGGCTGCTCCTAGGTGTCACTTCAAAGTCCCCTTGTCCAGCAGACATGGGCCCAGGAAACAACTGTTGTTCGGATCCCCCATCTGTCACTTCCACTCCATCCTTCAGGCTACATTTCTGCAGGGTTCAAGAAGTATAAGTGGGTAGGAAGGAAGGAAGAAAAGAAAGGGAAAAATGGAGGAAGAGACAGAAAAATGGATGCAGGGGCAGGGATAGCTCTAGGAGAACGGAGGTAGAAAAGATTTTACGGAAGTGATGGTATTCAAATGGAGTCTGGATGCCTGGATGAGAATTGGGTAGGACGCACTCCCTAGCACAAAGATGGTCGCTTGATAGAAGGCACAGATGCGAAGTCTGCTGTGGTTGAGTGCGGGTTTGTAGGCGTAAGAGGTGAGAGGATGCAGGAAATGGAGGCAGACTGGGCCAGAGTGTGTGCCAGCTGATGGAGCTGGACTTTATACACAGTAATAACCCAGAAAACGGACCCCCTGGCTGCTGTGGAAAACCCGGCTGAGGAAGTTTCACTTAGTTTAGGAATTATTTTTAGTGCCAAAGTGAAGGAGCGTGCCATCCACTGGGAGTGAATTTGGAGCTTATTGGTGAGTCATGTTCAGGAAAATAAAGGATTCATGTAACTGAAGTATTTGTGGGTGCTGAAGATGGGAAGTTGAAACATTTCTGAATCATTTCTGGCTCTTGGAGATGGATTAATGTTCAATCTTTTGTTTAAAAGGCTGCATTAAATAGAATGCCATTCTTACATCACACGTGACCTATCAGCTGTTTAAATGCCTGAGGAACAGAGTCAAGCCTTAGGACTGACATTGGGCATGAGAATTTTAAGATGTTTAGTATCTCTGCGAAGATACTGGAGTCCATGAGCTTAAAGGATTTTCATCTCTTTAAAAAGCGTGTTCGTATTACATAAAAGCAACTCAAATTCTAACATGAATAAGTACTGTATGTAGTTTTCGTTTTTGTTTGTTTGGTTTCTATATTTTGTTTTTTTGAGAAGGGGTCTCCCTGTATAGTTCGGGTTAGCCTCAAACTCACTGCAGTTCCTCCTGCCTCAGCCTCCTGAGTGCTGGGGTTACAGGCGTGTGCCACCACACCCTGCTCACTTTCAATACCTCACACTCATGTTCTGTGTGCAGAACTTGTGTTTCAGAAGCAGTGGGTCTGGCTGTAGCCATGAAGCCCGTCTTTGACCCTCACCACCCTACACCCCACTCACACTTCTCTCCCAGCACTGCACATGCTCGCGCTGCACACGGCTGTGTAGCTATGTGGAAGCGAGTTTGCTCCCTGTACTTGCTAGCAGGTACTGATGTCTTTCGTGTCCCTTCCCCTGGAATGGTCAGATGTCCCCCCTCTGATGCCAGCCAAGGGTCCTCAGTTACTGTGAAGTCATTTCTTTAGCCGTGACTCTAAGATGTCACCGTCCTGGGCTGGGATGTCCAAGCCAGGGCTTACAGAAGGTCTAACTTGGCCATGTCCATAGAGACAATAGACTGCCTGGCCCAGTCACCTCCAGGGTGGAAACAGGGGAGGAAAAACAGTTCCTTGAGGCATCTGGGAGCTACTCTATGCATAGCACAGTGCCGTCTGTCCTGTGTGACTAAGGCCCTGTGTCCCACTCCACCACACCCGTCCACCACCTGCAGTTCATGAAGGGCAGAGCCTGCCACCGTGCTCCGCAGCTCCTCCTCCAAGTGGCTCGCCAAATAGTTACCGGGTTCTGCGTTGCTTTCCTGTCTTTCTAGTTGGATTCCAGGTTCTTGTTGTCTGGAACAAAGAATTGAATGAAACGAGCAAAAAGCAGTGGCAAAGTTTACTTGAAAAAGTAAATGTGAAGAGTTGTGGGGAAACTGGCCCTGCAGAGCAAGCTTGGGCCAAGTAAAAGAGGAAAAAGCAAGATAAAAGTACACCCTGGAGAAAGCAGGGTGAGCTATGGAGAGGAAAGCCACAGTGAAAGCTCTTCTTCACATCTGTGGCCTTGCACGTTGTTCAAATCCTGAGGAAACCTGCGAGAACGTCTACATCCAGGCCCTGAGAGGCGGTGCTGGGATCCCGCAATTTAGGTTGACATCAAGTCCAGGATCCGGTTGAAAACCTGCTGGAGTTCTCAGGAGAAGTCTATGTGCAGGGCTCTGGGAACTGTTCTGTGCTTGTGTCTGGGATCTTGAAGCTAACAGGTCACGCATGTTTCCCCAGCCAGCTTTGCCGCACCCTAATCTCCTGTATCACTACCAGGACTGGCATAAACTGAGTGTCGCTGTGATGGCAATGCAAATGGTAACAGAACTGCATTAAATGGTTTAATAAAAATGCTATTGCATTGACTTGTTACTTTCCTAATTCATTCATCAGCCTTTTTTTTTTTAGTTACTGAAGATTGAACCCAGGGCCTTTGCACTGAGCTGTATCCCCAGCCACAGGGTCTCCCTAAATTATTATATTGTGCAGGCTGGGCTCAGCCCTGCCTCAGCCTCACAGAGTGCTGAGATGTGTCACCACATCTGGCTCAGCGTGGTTTACTTTAACAAAATAGAGCTCAGTTTTTCTGGCTTTCACTATTTACGCACTATGACATGCATTTTAGAATGCAAATATTAAAAGGTTCTGAGCATCTTGAGTAACAACCTAATGCTCTTTGAGAGGGGATGTTTGTACTATAGGTGTGACATTGCCAGGGTAGAAATAATTTTTAATTTCTGTGAGCAAATTTCTTTTCAATTCCATCTAAATAGTCTTACTGCATCTTTAAAAAAAAATTTTTAAGTGTGATTCTCATGCTATATGTGTTTGTCTTAAAAAGAGCTCCACTTTTCTTGCTGTGTTGTGAGTGCCTTAAAGGCATCTTCAGAGCTCAGCACCTCCGCCTTCTGGCTGAAGAACAGCCAGGGCTGGACTGTGCTAGGTGCTGCCCGGGACTGGCAGGGGCAGGCCAGAGGGTGCTGTGTGGAGCCTGGCTGACCTGTGCCTGTCTGTCTAGGGGCGCGGACATGGAGATGACCCTGGAGCGAGCCGTGAGCCTGCTGGACGCGGACCACACACCGCCAGCCCGGGTGGCAGCCGCGGCCACCTTCATCCAGCACGAGAGCTTCCAGAAGGCCGAGGCCCGCAGGAGGGTGCGTACCTGAGCGCTGTGCGGTGCAGCCCCGCGTGCCGACGCCAGTCATTCATTTAAGTCTTTGAAACTCTTTGTGGAGGTCTGGTTTGGTTTGGTTTGGTTTTTTAATGTAAAAGGAGACACTCATCCCACAAAATCCTTCGTGCAGTTTGGAAATGTAGAAAGTAAGTTCCCAAAGGAGCCTCCCTCCGCCAACTGCAGTCTCCTCTCTGAGAGAGGCAGAGAGAGATTTGAGCTATTATTTTCTATATTTTAAAAATGTATTAAATATAAGCTATAGTTTACAACTGTTTTCATTCAGCTGTTTCATGACATACTGCAATAATCGGTGAAGTTGCATACGTATTATCTATCATCTTTCAGTAATTCCCTAAGTGTTCCTGTAGGACAGATCCTAGAGGTGGAGCCAATAATCACTGCATATCTGTTTTAAAAAGTGGTGTACTGGGACAGGAATGTTCAGTAAAAAGGAGCCCCAACTCCAGACTTCAGCCTCCCCTCCTCTTCCTCTCCCCAGTTTGGGGGTGTCTCTCCTGAGACACTGTGCATGCAGAATCAGTCTTTAGCAGGGGTTGGCCACATAACCTTTTCTGTTCCACTTAAAATCACAAATGGCAGGGTACTATATTTCCTTTTCAGTTAACACTGTATCTTAGAAATGTTCGTATATAAGCCCTTCCTCATTCGCTAAACCTGCTATATTGATATCTGTTATCTAAATGTACTTGTGTGTTTTGTTTTTATGGTACTTGGGATCAAACACAGGGCCTCACATGCTAGGCAAGTGCTGTGCTCTGAGGTATACCCCCAGCCCTAAATGTACTTACTTTGTGGGTTCACTTTGAAACAATTTTACTGAAGTACAGTTTGATAAAGTTTTGAGATGTGTTTTAACATTATGAACCCATAATCACAGTCAGGATGAGCGTATCCATTGCTCTAGCATGGCCTAGTTGGACTGTCACACAACCCAGGGAGGAGCACTTGCTAGGCGCGTGCGGGCCCTGGGCTCCACCCCAGCACCTTCTGTTGTACCCCAGCAATCTATTTATCCTACTCTGACAGTCAGCATCCATCCCCAAAGATAGCCTGCTTGCCATGATTGTAGATGAGAGTGGCTTTTCTAAAATTCTGTGTCAATGGAATTTTATTGCATATATGCCTTTTTGGCCTGGATGATTTTGTTGGCTTGTCCCTTGAGCTTCATCCTTGTGATATGTATCAAAACTTTGGGCTACTATAGTAAAGCTGCTAGGGACATTTTGTCCAGGTATTCACACAGACAGATGCTCCCATTTCTCTTGAGCGGCTCCGTAGGAATGCAATGACTGGGTGACATGGTCGCTGTGAGTTTGAGAAACGATTTTACAAAGTAGCTGTGCACGTGTGCGCTCCCCTGAGCAGTGTGCAAGAGCTCCAGTCCCTGCGCATCTTAACACTAGTGGTTGTTTCATTGCGGTTTTTTTTTTTTTTTTTGGTTTTTCTCCGGTACCGGGAACCGAACTCACGACCTTGCACTTGCCAGGCAGGCGCTTTTGCCGCTGATCATTGCGGTTTTAATATATATTTTACCAGTCATTAGCGAAGTTGAATATTTTTCTATCCGCGTATCTTCTTTGGGGAAATTTGTTTGGCTCTTGTGCCCATTTATTAATTTCTTTTCTTATTGAATTTCTTTTTTGGGGCTAGGAATCAAACCTAGGTTCTCAAGCAAGTTAGGCAAGCACTGTACCACTGAGATCTATCCCCAGCCCTGCCTCAATTTTGAAAGTTCTTTTTTGTTTTGTTTTGGTTTTTGTTTTTTTGAGACAGGTATCACTATGTAGTTTAGGGCTGGCCTTGAACTCACTATGTGTCCAGGCTGGTCCCAAACTTGCAGCAATCTTCTTGCCTCAGCCTTCCAAATTCTGAGATTATAGACATGCACTACCACACTCACCTGGAAGTTCTTTGTATATTACAAACTTTCTTCCAGACCTATGATTTGGAAATACTTTTTTCCAGTTATGCTTTGTTTTTTTTTTGTTTTTTTGGGGGGAGGGGGTTTTCTCCAGTACTGGGAATCGAACTCACAACCTTGCACTTGCCAGGCAGGCGCTGTGCCACTGAGCTAAATCCCCAGCCCCTCCAGTTATGCTTTGTTGTTCAGTCTCTTAATATTTTTTTCCCTTTAATAGATTTCAATTTCTCAATTTTTTTCTTTATACAGTAGATCATGCTTTTCATGATATCTCTAAGAAATCTTTCCCTACTACAAGACTAGAAAATAGTCTCATATTTTCTTCCACAGTTTTATTAAATGTTAGATTTTATAGTTAGTCTTTTGTCGTTTTGGCTAGTCTAGGTCTTTTGCATTTCCTATCTATTTATTTCGAGCCAGGATCTCACTGTGCAGTTCAGGCTGGCCTTGAACTCACAGTGACCCTCCTACCTTAACCTCCTGAGTGCTGGAATTACAGCCGTGTGCCACCACGCCCAGCTATGCATTTCCATTTCAGTTTTACAATCTGCTCATCAGTTTCTTTTTTAAAAAAAGAAAACACCTACTAGAATTTTGTTTGAGATTGCATTGAATCTAAAGATAGATATGGTGAGTTGACATCTCAATAATACTGAATTTTCTGACACATCAACATGGTGCATCTTACCATTTATTTAGGTCTTTAATTTTTGTCAGAAATGTTTTTTGTGAGGCCGCAGATATAGCTCCACAGCACAGTGCCTGCCTGCAAGCACAAACCCCTGAGTTTGATTCCTGATACCAAAAATAAAAAGAGAGACACAAGATAACTAGATACACAAGACTGAGTAAAAACTACAAAAATAGTTTTCTTTCTTTTTTTTTTTTTTTTTTTTTTGGTGCTGGGACTCAAAGTCAGGGCCTTGGCCTTGCCAGGCAGGCACTGTGCCACTGAGCTTTATCTCTGGCCCTCTTGTATCACATTTATCCTTAAGGTTATTATATCTCTGGATAATTTGATCAATGGTACTGCATTATATTACAGTTTTTATTATGCAAACATATAAGTGATTTTTGTATATTGATCTTCCACCTTAAGATATTATTAATTATGGTAGCATTTTTGAAGATTCTGTCAGATTTTCTACATAGAATCTTCCTTCCCAACTGGATGTCTGTCTGTCTACTTACTTTCTTTCCCTCTTTCTTTCTCCTCGTTTGGGTAACACCTCCCCTACAATCTTGAAAAGAACTGCTAAAAGTGGGTATATTGTTCTATTCCTGGTCGTACAGGAAAAATAGTCTTTTCCCATAAAATATGATGCTACTTATAATGAGCACAGCAAAGAACTTTTCTTTTACTCTTAGTTTAATGGAGTTGTTTTTTTAGTTAGGAATGGGTATTGATTTTTGTTCTGTGCTCTTTAGGAATTTACTAAAATATATATCTATGGTTTTTAATTTAAATTTTATTATGAAGGTAAATTACCTTTCCGTTTTTGTTTTTGTTTCTTTGCAGTACTGGGGACTGAACCCAGGGCCTTTGCACTGAGCTATTTCCCTAGCCTTTTTCCTATTTTTTATTTTGCAACAGTGTGTCATTAAGTCACTAAGTTGTCCAGGTTAAGCTCAAACTCATAATCTTCCTGCCTCAGCCTCCCAGAGTGCTGGGATTATAGGCATGTTCCACCACTCCTGTCTCTGATTGATTTAAAAATGTTATCCCATTCCTGGTACAAACCCACTTGGTTATGAAGTACTGTCACATTTTGTATGTTTTATTAGACTTGCTAAATTTTTAAGAACTTTTACATATATTTGTAGAAGATATGATCTGTAATTTTCTTTCTGTTATACCACTCTGTCGGATTTTGGGTTGAGAGTGCTCTAACCCTCACAGAATGAACCGTAAGATATTCCATGATCCTCAGCTCGCCACAAGAGTTTGGTCAGAATTAGTATTATTCCTTTCTTAAATGTTCGGTAGAACTCACCAGTGAAACCACCTGGACTGAAGATTTCTTTGTAAAGCCTCAAAACTTCAGATCCAGCTTCTTTAATTGTCACAGGACTCTTTGGGCTGCCTGTTTCTTCCAAAGCGAGCTCTGCTAGCTGTGTCTCTTCAGAGGGTTTGTCCGCGTCCTCTCAGCGGTCCTGGTGCCCTTCGTTTCTTAGTGCAGATGCGTCCGCTGCCATTTCTCTCTTCCTGAACAATCTCCTTCAGCATCTAAAGAGTGCAGGTCTGCTGGTCAGTTTTGGTTTGTTGTAAAGATAGTGTCATCTTGGCTTTTGAACGATATTTTTGGTCGGCTGTAGAGCCTCACTTAAGTTGACGATTTTGTACATTGTCAGTATTAAACGCGCCTGCCCTGGTGTCCTCTCACTTGCGTGCTTAGACAGGACATCCACTGCTGTCCTTGTCCTTCTGCATCTGGTATAGTACGTCTCCTGCAACACCTCCAGCTACTTTCAAGATCCGGTCACAGGGTGCCTTGCGCCCTGACTAATTTTCTTAACGTTTCTTGTGCTCAGGGGTTCATTGAGCTTCTTAAATTTGTGAATTTACAACTTTGTATCAGTTTTAGGAATTTTTCAACCGTAAGTGCTTTTTTTCCCTCTCTTCCTTCGTTGGAGCTATAATGACATGTTAGGCTGCTTGAAGTTGTGGGACAGCTTAACATCCTGTTCTTTTTCTTTTCTTTTTTCTGTGCTTCCTTTGGGATAAGTGTAATTGCTGTGCTTTAAATTTGCTCATCTTTTCTTCTGCAATTGTGTTCAGTGTATTTTTTATTTCACACACTGTAATCTTCATCTCTAGAACTTGCATTTGATTTTTGTATCTTCTGTTTATACGTTCAAGTCTTGTCATTACTGAAGGTGTTTGGACACATGGAAGACAGTTAAAATCACTACTTTAATGTCCTCGCCTGCTTATTCTAAAATCTGTGTCCATTCTGGGTGGGTTTTGATTATTTTCTCTCCATATCATGGGTCATATTTTTCTTTGCACACTTGGCAATTTCTCGCTTTTTGCTCGC